GAGCACGATCCTCCAGCAACCCCCTGCAGAGGCCGCGGGGCACCAAAAAGCGGGTGAGATGGAGGAGATGGATGGCAATGGTGAACAACAACCCCCCCCCATTCCCAGGTGGTGGCCCCATGGCAGGAGAGGGCCGCCCTTGCCCTCCCACCCACTTGCCAGTCCTGCTGAGGGTGATGGGGGGGGAGGAGGAGGGATGGAGAGGGTTAGGGAGAGGCCAGGGATGAGGCCCCACCCCTGTGCTGCCAGGGCCGGGCCTTCTCTCCCCCCCCCCGCACGCGCCCTCTTCCTGTACCTGGACACGTTGTCCGGGGAGCAGGCAGAGTTTCCACTGGTGGAGAGGTCGGTCTCAAGGCTGTCGGAGCTCTCCAGGCTGAGGGTGTCGTAGGCGTGATCGGGCTCCTCGGCACGCAGGCCTGGGCCCCGGGGTGGGTGATGATGATGGAGGATGGAGTGGTGCATGAGTGGGGAGGAGGAGGGGGGGAAGAGGGGCACTGCCCCCCCGCGCAGGGCCTCCCACTGGGACTGGGCCTCAGCCGCCGCCTTCTGCTTCAGGTCGGCCAGCCGCCGGCGCTGCTCCTCAATCACCTGGCGCCCTGCAAGACCCCCCCCAGGAGGAGAGCGAGAGCCGGGCTGAGCTGGCAAAGGGCCCTGCTGCCTCCCCACCCCCTGCGGCAAACCCCCTTCTCCCCCCCCCCCGGGCAGCAAAGGAGGAGCCCCTGGTGCCACCCCCCACACACCCCTACACCCACCCTTTTGCTGGAGGGCCAGCTGGCGCTTGCCCTCAATGTCGCGCAGGGTGCTGGCCAGGTTCCGCGGAAGGCTGCCGGTGCCATTCTGGGGGGGCAGGGTGTTCTGTGGGAGAGATGCTCTTTGGGACCGGGCCTCACGGCCCTCCCCGGTCCCTGTAAAGCCAGAACTCCCACCCCACCCCTACAGAAGGGGGGGGGCGGGAGGAGTCTCCCACTGGCCAGATCCTCCCCTCCGTCAGCCAGACTTACAAACCCTCCAGCCGGAAGGGAGGGGAGGAACCAGCCCTGCCTTGGCCCCTCCCCTCCTTTGGCTTGCAGGGTGGCCCCCGCCCCCCCCGCCCCTGCCATACCTTGGGGGAGGGGCTGCGCCTGAGGTTGGCGATGCTGAGCTGGGAGGAGGAGGAGGAGGAGGTGACCCCCTTGGTCTGTGCCAGCGTCCCAGGGATGCTGCCCCCCTTGCAACGATACACCTGGCCGAGAGAGACACCAGAGGCCCGCCAGTCAGAGACCCCCGGAGACCCTGCCCAGCCCAGACTTGGGTCGGCTGAGCGGTAACAGGGAGAGGAAACGGTTGGCCAAGCGGGCACTGCTTCCGCTGCACCCTTGGCCCGTTGGGTCTTGAGCAAGAAGGGGTGGCTGGACTCTGCTCCTTGCCAGGACCACCTCTTCTGGGCTGGGGAAATGGGAGGGCAGAAAGAAGCCCCAGGACAGAAAGGCCGGCGAGGGCAGGAGCACCAGAAGGAAGGACGTGGAGGGGCAGGTCTCCGAGGGGTCCCCTGGTGGGCAGGCCTGACGCCATGGAGGAGCACAGGCTTTCGCCCCCACCCCCAACCCTGACATACCCACCATGCTTTGGAGGTCACCCCCCCAGTCACCCACACACACACACACACACAGGGACCCCCCTGGTGTCCTTCTTCGGGTCTCCCTCCCTCCACTCTGAGATGGGAGCGGTCCTCCTCAGGGAACTGGTCTGAGGGCAGAAGAGGGAGATCCGAAGCCAACAGATCCCTGTCCAGTCCAGAGGCCTTCACTCTCTCTTGCCTTCACAGACATGCACGCCACTGCCCACTCCACACACACACGCACACCCCCGTGGGAGGCACCACTCAAAACCCCAGGGCTCCCCCCCCGCCTGCCTGCCTGCCTGCCTGCCTGTGAGGGTTCCCCTGGTGGGCAGGCCTGACGCCATGCAGGACCACAGGCTTTCGCCCCCACCCCCAATCC